ATAATTAATTGGGACATAAAGAATTTTAATTATAAATAATTATAGACTATATTAAATTAAAAGAAGTTATCACTTTATAATCAAAAATTCATCTTTCATTTAATTGTAGACTATATATATAATAATTATTTAATATTAATATATAACATCATATATTATATAATATAATAATAATATTATATATATATCCTTTATTTAAATTTTAAATTAAATTTATTTATTTATTAATATTAATAATTCATTAACTTAAATTAAATTTTAATTGTTGAATTTTAATACCACTATCTTTGCCTAACCAATATAATTTCTTAATTTGGGCACATACTACCAGAGGGGTCACCGCATCTAGGAAAATCTAATGCAATTCGATTGAAACTTGTTACTCGGGGGTTTTTAGGGTCTTTGATTGCGAATCTGAAGTCAATTTTTGAAAATTCAAAATGGCGGATCCAATATGGCGACCGAAAATTTTAAAAATCCACGAAATTTGCTTAAAACTTGTTACTCGGAGGTTTTCGGGTCGCTGATTACGAATCCAATGTTAGTTTTTCAAAATTCAAAATGTGGATCTAATATGTGCTCATTGTAGTACAAAAGCTGACCAAAAGCGAACGTCCTGGATTTTTAAAACTTGCAATGTTCCACTCTGCCTATTACCAGCAAGAAATTTTTTCGCCGCTTATCACAACTAAAAATGGAATATTACTTACGATCCGCCATTTCCAATTTTAAAAACCAAACGTGATATTTGTAATCAGCAACTATAACAATCAGCCTTTTTCAAGGCTACCAAATCATCTCGAAAAACCCCGAGTAACAAGTTTCAAGCGAATTGGATTAGATTTTAAAAATCGTACGCCATATTGGATCTGACATTTTGAATTTTTGAAAACTAACTTCAGATTCGCAATCAGCGACCCCAAAAACCCCCGAAAACAAGTTTCAAGCGAATTGCATTAAATTTTCAAAAAATCATACGCCATATTGGATCCGCCATTTTTAATTTTTGAAAACTGACTTCAGATTCGCAATCAGGGACCCCAAAAACCCTTATAGGTATGATCATCTGTATTTTTGAATGGAATGAAAAATGTGTGCCACAATGGGTTAAAAAACAATTGCTTTTGTACTTCTGGCAATTTTTCCCAGAGTACAAAAGCACATTCTTCCCATCTTTTTTTTCAGTGTGTAGTAAAAACAAAATTTCGCTGTGGACTTTCATGCGAATTCCTTGTAAAATATTGTCGTTAATCGACGAAACATGTTGTAAATAACTATTAGGAATGGTTAATATACATTTAGAGTGCTTATTTATGCAATAATAAGAGTAAATTAAGATATAATTAATTAATAATAAGTGTTTTAAGTGTACAGCGCATGCAGTTGTTGAGTTACCATGTACACTAGATGGCGCTGAAGATTACTTTGTGAATGAATTTCTAAAATTAAGCCCTTGAGTGTCAAATATGTAAGTGAATATAAGTTTTAAAAAAATAGTTCGATTTATTAAAACAACATTTTTCATTTGTACAAATATAAAAAAAAAATTTATTACGAACAAAAATTTTTTTAATGAAAAAAAGTTTTTTTCATGATAAAAAATTTTTTTTTCCTTAATGAAATGAGAAAGATTAATTTTATTTATTTCAAACATAAACCATTCAGTATGAGGTACTTAATAACAGTGACATAAAGAGTCAAATGAATGCCCATATAAGGTGAGTAGTGTAATGATAGGTTAAGCTATGATGTTTAATGTAAAATTGAAATTGATATTTTTGACACAAAAAACTTTTTTTTTCTCAATTAAATGAGAAAGATTAATTTTGACGCAGAAAAACTTTTTTTCCCTAAAAAAATTTATTTTTCATAACAATAAATTTTTTTTCTTAATAAAGTGAGAAAGATTAATTTTGACATAAAAGAAACTTTTTTCCCTAAAAAAATTTTTTTTCTCAATAAAATGGAAAAGATTTGGGTAAATGCACTAATTACGTCGCGATTCGAGTCAAAACACCTCTGAAATATAAAATTCGACATTTCTATTTTATAAAGTCAATTTAAGACTTATTAAACTAAAAGGTTATGTTATTTAGATGTTAAAAAAGATATTTAACTCTATAAAAATCGATTATTTAAACAAATATGAGAAATTAAAACTAATACAGTAATTTTCTATTGCGGAGCGTTTGTATCAGTTACGGTGTATCAATTTCGGTGACCAAAATTACGTGTATTTTCAAGATACTTTGCCCGCCAAAATTGGAGCTAATGGAAATCTTAAAAATGTTTCAATTACGGCGGGGAAAAAAATTTGATCTCAAATAATTAAATTAATAATTGTTTAAATGTGCATCTTTATGAGTAATTGAATCAAAAAAAGATTGAAATAATTTTTTTAATCATTTGGCAACAGTTATATTAAATATAATAGTAATAATAGTTATTTTTTATGAACGCGCCGTAATTGGTACACTTACCCTAATTTTGACATAAGAAAAAACTTTCTTTCCCTAAAAAAATTTTTTTCCTGAAAAAAATCCTTAATATAATGTGGTTCAAGAACAACTTACACCACCACAAATTTTTGTTTTATTAAATAAATGATTTACATTTGTTTTCAAATTTTAAATTCAGAGAAAGATTAATTGTGACAAAAAAAATATTTCATTAAAAAAATTTTTGTTCGTAATAAAAATTTTTTTTTATATTTGTACAAACGGGTCATGCACATAATACGTCACGCGAACAGAGGGAGAGGGGGTCTAGATAATTTTGACGATCCATAGAAAAAATGGCTCTAATGTATGGAACCAAGTGTGACATGGGGATGGGGGGGGTCAAAAAAGGGTAAAAATTGCGTGACGTATTATGTGCACCACCTCAAATATAAAAAGGTATTTTATTAAATTAAAAAAATTTTTGTTCGTAATAAAATTTTTTTTATATTTGTACAAACAAGTCGTGCACATAATACGTCACGCGAACAGAGGAAGGAGGGGTCTCGAGAATTTTGACAAAATAGAAAAAATGGCTCTAATGTATGGAACCAAGTGTGACATGGGGATGGGGGGGGGGTCAAAAAAGGGTAAAAATTGCGTGACGTATTATGTGCACGACCTCAAATATAAAAAGGCAAAGCCCATTTGTACAGGGTACTATAAAGATACATTATGTTTATTGTATATTAATTGGCTGCATTGTTATTATAATCATTGAAAATTAAGATACGCAAATTTTTAATGAAAGTTGTGAGTGAATTACAGAAAAAATCAATGCTGTTGTTAAACTGATTTGTCTCACTGCTCAGTCGTTGATCACTAAATTTATAGTGTAATTTTCTTTAATGAAAGGTAATTTAAATAATGGTGGGTTTCTAGGCGATCTTTGCGGAACGTAGAAATCAAATAAAAACAACAGGTCTGAGCAGTTAATTCGACCATTGATGATTTTAAATAAAAAAAGAAGATCAGAAAACAAAAATCTTTCAGACATTAGTGGTATTTTATGTTTACGTCTAATTTCACTATAATCATGATTATTATAATCTAACGGCAAACCAGTTTGTCTGGCAGCAAAACGCAATAATCTGTTTTGAACTCGCTCTATTAAAACAATAAATTCATCTTGGTAAGGCCGCCATAGTATTGATGCAAATTCAAGTATCGGTCTAACCAAAGAGAAGTACAAACATTTCAAAGCATCAATATTTTTGAAGCGCCTTGAATTTCTGGAGATGAAGCCCAAAACTCTGGTGGCTTTATTTACTGTATATTCTCCTGGTATATTCTCCTGGTCCTGAGTACAGGATATTACCTTAAATATTTTTAAGTCATCAGCAAATAAAAGAAATTTAGAAAATTTAAAGACTACATTAATGTCATTTATAAATAATATAAAGAGGACTGGTCCCAGCTTTAAACCCTGAGGAACTCCAGAAGATGTAATAAAAATGTCGGAAAATTCATTTTCAATACGTACTTTTACATAATTCCTGTATATGATTGCATAATATAGGTATTTAAATTACTTTTTGTGCTTAATAAATGGAATTACGAATTCGGTATCTTTATAATAAGTCCACTTTAATTGGTTATTTTTGTGTTTTTAACAAATGCATCTCTCAATTGTTGCCATTTCTGCTGCGGATCTATAGATAAACAAAAAATAAATCAATTACTTTTGAAAATAAATATATTCGCACATAAAAGTAACAGGTATAATTAAAGCTTTGTGTCGGATTCATAAAAAAACTAAAAAGACATTCTATTCATTAGTCCTGAACCCTGTGACATAACCTCAAACACAACATTATTTTTTAATGAAAATAAAATTAAAATAAAAAATGAAGACAACAATTTTAAAAATTTCTAATAATACTTTCATTTTTGTTAAAAACCTTTGTTAGGTTATCTAAAAAATAAAAATCTTTCATTTAGTTTCACTTTGGCAAGGGTCTCTGTTTGAAAAAACAAATAATAAATTTTTCATTTATCAGTGAATAATAATGTTATTAATTTTGTAAATAATTATTTATATTTTTTTTAACAATAACAATATACGTACCAATGTCAATTTTATTCATTTGTAATGTTAAACGTATTTCATTCCACAGTTTTGTCCTTTCATCGATGTCAGTAACTTTTTTTTGGATTGTATACCCATTCCGCAGATTTAATAACAGTTATACAAAATTGCATTTCAGCTATCTCGTCATTATCCACATCCATTTTTCTTTCCAACAACAAAAATAATAACTTTAAAAACGCAAACCACAAAATACTAAACAAGGCATATAATAAGTGACACAGTAACAAGATTAATGGCTTACAAAGTGTGACACCAGGTGTAGCACAATTATCATATACTTTAAAGGTATTTATCCATTTTCAATAGATATTTGTTTTAAATAGAAAGATTAATATTAGATAATGAGAAACTTTTAAAGCTATCAAAATACTTACGTTTTACTTTTTAGTTCATTAAAATTTAATGATAGAAAACATTTAAAATTATTATAGAAATTAAGGATAAAGGGTTGGCCACAACATGATTGTCTGCACAAGCGTCAATTAGATTGAGAGATGCAGACAATTTGTGACAAATTTCAGTTTACAGTGCAAAGGTGTAAATGTAACATAATACTAATTCAATAACGCTATCATTCTATATTTTTATTAGTGAAACCGTGATTGGAGATATAATAACTGTCAGTAATATTCTATTTTGCTGTAGTTATATATCTATAAATAATGGAATTTGATATAAATTAAATTGTACAATTGGTACAAGAAAATTCGTGTATTTATGAAAACAGTTCTGATCGTTTTGTAGATAATTTAAGAAAAAAGAATGCGTGGATAAGAATTACTAAAGAATTTGAAAACATAACTGGATACCCTATGGAGAGTGCGTATTTTGTTACTACTTTCATGAATGAAATTAATGATCAAAAAATGTTTTTAGAAAGCAAACATAATTTAAAAAAACATAACCTTTACAATACAATAACATGAAGAGGAGAAATATTTCAAATTGTAAATAAAGAAACCAATACATTATATTATAAAGATAATATATCAGTGACTATAAATAATAAAATATATTACAGTTTTATTTTTTAGAAAAAGACATCATAAACACTTGGAAAAATTTTAAAAAAAGTATGTTCAAGAGCACAAAAAAGTTGTAACTTACAAATCATCAGGTTCAGCTGCATCGACAATTACAAGCGATTGGCCTTACAATTCGTTAATGGATTTTTTGAAAAAATATGTTGACCGCAGAAGGTAATATTAAACAATTTTTTATAATAAATAATAGAAACACTAAAGAGAAGGATACTTCTATTGTATTTTTTACTTGTAGGAAATTATTATTACAATAATTATAAACATTTTTTTTTGTTTCGAACAGAACAAGGAGCAATATCAAATATCCAACCCAAGAAACTATAAATGCAGATGAAACTGAATATATAAGCAGCGATGATTCTGACAATGCTGTTATGGACTTAAATTAAAGTAATAATGTCATTCGAGAAATATTAATGTTAATCGAGAAAACGATTTTCTTATTTGATATTTCCTAATTGTAATTTTTTATTCTTACTAGGGTAACGGCACCAGTGAAAGAACATTTAAGGAAATACATACTTTTATCATTTATTATTTTTGAATGCAGTTATTGAAAATTTTTTTACCAATTTTTTTCGATAGCTAATTAAGTGTAGAATGCGAAGGTCATATTTAATTTTCATAAATATAAGATGTTAATTAAAATTTTAATTAATAAGTAAAACATACCTATTTCACCAGTGAAAGAACAAATTGTCTAATGAAAGAATTTTCTGCATCCAGTGAAAGAACGATGTAAAATATATATTTAAAATATATTTAAAAAATATATTAAAACAAAGATAAAGTAATAAAATGTTTGTAATATACTAAAATAAAGGTAAATTAATGATAATTATGAATATTTTTTAACTAAGTTTGCAGAATCTTATTTTTCATTGAAAATGCATTTATAACATACAATTAATCATACAAGAATAATATTATTGTAACCTAACAGTGTTAACCTATTTGATTTTGTCATTTTTTTGTTTATGACTTCAGACTATTCGTTGAAGGTGTTCCTTCATTGGATTGCATTGGAACCAGTGAAAAAACATTTCTGTTCTTTCACTAGTAAATAAAAAAAAAACCCAATGACGGAATTTGCTTTTCTTATGGCAAATTAATATTTTATTAGCTTTTAAATGAAAAGAAGTATTTCTAATACACAAGATAAATTTAGCTTAAAGAAGACCGACGATTTAAGGCAGTTTAAATTAGTTAAATGTGAAAAAAGAAATAACGTGTCAGAGAAGAGTTCTTATTGTTGAAGATAAATTTTTGCAACACAACATTTTTAAAAATTATTTTTTATAAAATTTACGTGTTAACTCTCCAGGTATCTTAGATACTAAAGACGTAAATTAAATAAGGAACATAAATATATATAATTTATAATACCAAATTGCTTATTACACTAATTAGAATGCAAAACATAAAATTTGTTCTTTCACTGGTGTCAGTTCCTTCACTGGTGCCGTTACCCTATTTGATTTCAGTTGACCAGGATTTTTCAATTGGAAAAATACATGAAATACCACTTGACTGCAGAACAATTGATTACTTATCAATATTGAAAGAAGCATGGGGCAGATTTCCTCATAAAAACAAAGAAAATGTAGCTATGAAATAGAAAAAATATTTCATAAAAACTTAATTTATAAATAATTCTATAATTCAGCATTAATAATTCCAAAACTTCATCTGTCTCTATTTTAAGCATTTCAATAAAAATAATTTATAAAAAACCTTACAACCCATCAACACATTCTTATCCTAATTAAAATTAATCGTATAAAATTGATTAACCGTATAAAATTCATGCCAATAAATTATTCAAATCTTTTTCTCAGTTTTGAATCTCAGTAAATGGAAAAATGTATAATTTATATTTATAAAAATATGTTTTTTGTATTATTAATGGTAAATATTATTTTATTCAGAAATTTGTTATTTATTTTACGTAACTTACAGTCTCCTATTTCAATATTATATTAATACATAAAAAATATCATTACTGTACTTTACAAAACTTAAACATGTTGTACTGACTAACATTTGGCAACAGTTCCGTTTGTGACGTCAGCACTTGCGCGTCAAGCGTTCACGAACTCCGTTCCGTGCCCATTGGAGAAGCAACTTGAGAGCTATGATGGTCGAAGATTCGAGTCCCAGAGTCAACTCGTCGGAAAAATTTAAAGAATAAGTGATGAATACTAATTTTTTTTAATTTATTAATATTATTGACGTCAAATAAAAACAAAATATAACGAACTCTAATTTTATTATATAATAATTTATTACATTCCACTTATTACAATCGATTTAATATATTCTTATACTATCGGCACCAGTGACTCACATATTGCCAGCCCGCGTGTGCCACACGAACGGCGGGCTATATGGACAGCAATGGCACGCACATTGAGCTGCGTTCTAGCCGGCACGTCGTCCGATCAATATGACCGCGGACAGAACATGGCGCGCCATGGGCTAGGCATTTTGTTATCTTGGTAGTTAAAAACATCTTACAAAAAGAAATATATATTAACTTATTTCACAATTTTAAATTTTTTCTTACTTTAATCGTATTAATCATATTTTTGAATCATTATTAATATAGAAAAATAAAAATTAGAATCCAAGGGTAATTAGGTGAAATTAAAATTCTGGTTAATTAAAATTTCTTAAGTAAAATTGTAATAAATATTTATTTAAAGAAATATAAACATAAATGATATATCGAGATCAGAGAAAAAGCCAAAATTCTGTTTGGAAATTAGGGAAAAGTCATCGAAAAATAAAATCTTGTGTTAACGCTGATTAAATTATAATAAGATTTAATATAATTGAATTTTATTTAATTGCAATAAATTGAATGAACATGTAATTAATTAATTAAATTAAAAATAATTTAATAAACAAAATTATTTTTAAAGCAATGAAATCAGGGATGTGTCCGGAAACGGAACAAAAAGGAAAAATCACTTTCGTTCTATTCCGTGCTTGAGAACAGAAACAAAAATACTGACGGACTTTCGTTTCGTTCCAAGACCAGAAACGAAAAAGGATATAGATATGTTTCCTGCTAAAGCACTGCGGGGACTTTCGTTCCGTTCTAAGACCAGAAAGGAAAGTCGATGCGACTTTTGTTCCGTTCCAAGACCAGAAACGAAAATGGATAGAGATATGTTTCGTGTTAAAGCACTGAATTCATTCGGTCCTAATAGTAGGACTGCGCATGTCTAAAGTGCACATATCACTACTGCGCATGTGAAAAGTTTAATTGAGCCTACTGCGCATATATTAAGTGCAATTATCCCCACTACACAACTCCAAACATCAATGGACACTATTGCGCATGTCAAAACTTTAATTGATCTTACTGCGCAATGTCTAAAGTGCACTCTACCCTACTGTGCATTTTTATAAAAGACTCAACTTGTCTATTTCTGTTAGTCTGAACGCGAGTGCTTGCTCTTAGAAAGGAAGTACTTTCGTAGCGAAATGTTCCGTTTCTGATCCTTGACACAGAACAATCTATTTATTTCTTATCGTTCTGGTCTTGAAACGGAAGGAAACTTCCAACGACTTTCGTTTCTGGTCTTGCAAGTCCCATCGACTTTTGTTCCGTGCCCAGGCACGAAACTAAATGCTTCATGACTTTCGTTTCGTGCCGGCAGTACGGAACGGAACCGAAGTTCTGTTTCCGGACACATCCCTGTATTCCTTTTATTATTGTAACAAATGGTTAAAGGTTATTTTGAATTAGTGACAGAAAAATTAACATTGATGAATGGTATAAGCTTTTCGACATTTTCTGTAATCCGGAAATAATCAATTTTTTTATTCCTAAGACTAATTTTTCTTTCACATGGTGCACAAAGCTTCCTTCTATTTTCGTCATGATCACGACGGTGATCATAAGTACGGGGCATCCTTATTTTTACAATTTCAGGCAGAGAACGCACTTTAAAACATATTAAACTTTCGAGTAAAAACAGCGAACGTAGAATTAGCGCAATATAAAGTAGGTTATAAATAAATAATGCAAAAAACATTTGACAATAGGCAATTTATTTTAATTTAAATACAGACATACACAAAAATTTTTTGTAACTCGCAATCGCCATTTCTACAAAATCCAAATGTTAAAAAATGTAATTTTCTATAACATTTTTTTATCCTTTATGTATGTAAATTTAAGCTCTATAGAACAAATATGTCAGTATATTATATAAATATTGTCAAAATAATTTTAGAAGCATTTTTGATCATTTGAAAGACGGTTATTTTTTCAACCTCTGGAAATAGAACGGGCATCGTAAAAAAATTTTTTTCTTTCCAGCCACCTGTGAAAGCGCTTCTAGCGCGGTTAAGAGCTATGATGGTCGAGGGTTACAGTCTCAGAGTCAACAAATTTAATAATATCATTGACGTTAAATAAAAAAAAAATGTAACGAAATCTAATTTTATTATGTAATAATTTATTATTCCACTTATTTCAATTACTTTAATATATTCGTATAATGTCGGCATCAGTGACAAACATATTGCTAGTACGCGTGTGCCACACAAACGGGCGGGCTATTTTGATAGCAATGGAACGCACATTGAGCTGCACTCTAGCCGGCACGTCGTTCGGTCAATCGGATCACGGACAGAACATGGCGCGCTATTACGGAGACATTATGTTATCTGGGAATTATTACAAGAATTTTTTGAGAATCAAATTTTTAAAGAATTTTATTTTAAATTAATTTTTAACGAATGAGAGTTTATATTGTTGTAGCATAAGTTTCACTATCTCCATTATTTTCTAAAAAATCAAATTCATTATCAACAATTTCCGGAAATTCTGTTTCTTCTTCACTTTTACCACTGTTAGACAATATTTCTACATCCCTATCTAAGATTATTTAATCTTCTTCTTCCTCAATGTTTGAAGACTGATTTTTAAATAACAGTTTTTGATTTTCTTAATCGTCGGCGAATAAATTTTTTCAATTCCAATATCATAATCTGCAAAAACCTCGATAATAATTGCTGGCTGGATGAGCTATTTCAATTTCCATTATGCATAAAGTTTTAAGATGCAGTATCGCACTAGAAATATACTGAATATTTATTCCCAAAAAGATCAATGGTGACGAAAAGCAATAACATTTTTCGTAATTTCAAAATATTCGATAAAACACGTTTTCATCTGTACTTTCTTTTATATAAATTCTTTCATAAAAAGTAATATGTGACTCTCCACGAGAAAAGGGACCTAACGCGACAAAAAATTAATTTCCACACTGAAAAAATTTTGGTGCACCGGTTTTACTGGTTAGTTTCAAAAATTTTGTACTTTAAAAACGGACATCAGTTATCCAGGTTTGGTGCAACCTATTTCCCCTATAGTACTTCTGACGCACCAAATCAGGTTAACAGTTGCCCTCAACTCATAGTACAACAGTTCTACCGTAGATTGCGCATCTGATACAACAAAAATTTTTCCATGCAGTTTTATATGCGAATCGGTAGTATTTAAGTTGCTCTTTCATATAGAAAAGTCAAAAACTGTATTTTTTTAATTACTTTTTTTGTAATAAAGCTTTAAACATGACCATGTCAATCGCGTTCTACCACAGACTACGGAAACCATCCCCACCACCTCTACTACTAGTATACTTGTCATATCCGTGAGCTGGAGGAACGATGTAGTAGTAAGGTAGTGGGGCTGATTTTCGCTGGTGCGTCTCAGTCAATCAGAACGGTCAACTTTAAACGCCTTTTCTGTAAAATTCTAGTTTGTCGCGTTTGGTCCCTTTTCTTGTGGAGTGTCATATATTTTAATAGTTTTAGGGTTTCGTACACCTTCGGTGTACCGACGGAACCCTTATGAAAAGACTCTTGCGTCCGTCACAGCTTTGTGTCCCCCCTTAACTTCTACATTTATATATATGAAAAACTGCAATTAAGCACACATACGTTTTTTCACGTGTAGATTACAGGAAAAATATAGTGATTCCGATTGGATTTGATGGCTACGAGCTAGAAAGGAAAGAAATCGGTTTTTTTTCGAAAAAATTGCAAAAAATGACCCTGTCCCCCCTTAACTTCTACATTTTGCTATTATATATGAAAAACTGCAATTTAGTACACATACGTATTTTCGTGTAGATTACAGGAAAAATATAGTGAGACAGATTAGATTTGATGGCTACGAGATAGAAAGGAAAGAAATTAGTTTATTTTCGAAAAAATTTCAAAAAATGACCCTGCCCCCCTTAACTTCCACATTTTGATATATGAAAAACTTCAATTTAGTACACATACGTATTTTCACGTGTAGATTACAGGAAAAATATTGCGAGATCGATTGGATTTGATACCCTTCCTTAACGTTATATATAATTTATTTCTATATAAAAAAAGAGGTTATTATTATCGGTTTATGGAACCCTCGAATTAGTGCGAGTTGCAACTGGCACTTGTTTTATTATTTAGGGATTATGTATTATCTACTAATAGTTTAGAATATTATTTTGACTAACATCAAAAATTATTTTTTATCAAAAAAATGAAAAACAATTTTCAATTATAAATTTAAAGGATATAAGCGTATGTTTTCTAAATGAATTATTTCTCCCTCTATAGTTTACACTGTTTGACATAAAAAGCTTGTTTTTTTTCAATTTGTGTTTTTATTTCAAATAAATTAATTTCGTGTACTTATCCGATTTTTTTTATTTACAATATGATATTTTCTAGCTCAAAATATTACCCGTATTGTTGGTGGAATGGAAGCAGAGGAAGGTCAGTTTCCATATCAAGTTTCACTGCAGCGAAATGGACGTCATTTCTGTGGAGGCTCTATTTTGAATGAACGTTGGATTTTAACAGCGGCACATTGCCTTAGAGGGTAACAATAATTAATAATATATCTTTTACGTTCCTTTGGACATATAGTTAATTTGTAGGTAGAGTCAATTTATATAGGAAATGTAATAATTATGGCAATAAATTATTACTAACCCAGTGGGCAAAACACCATGTTCGTTCTAAAAACGTTTTAAGTACGTTTTTAGAACGTTTCATGTTCGCCAAAAAATGTTCTAAAACATTTGAAGAACATGGATGTTCAAATTAGGTTCTACAAAATTTTTTGCTGATATGAAACGTTCTAAAAAGGTTATAAGAACTTTTTTGGAACGAACATGGTTTTGTGCCCACTGGGAATTAACATATGCAATAAGTACCTGAATTTTGATATGAGGTAAGAGGTTCGGTTGTGGACACCTCTGTGTAACTTTTGATAATAAAGAAATGAAATCTGACAAATGGCAAGTATGTGCATATCATAACAGGCACCTGTCGAAGAATATGACCCTTTACATGTATGATACACGAAATTTAAATTATTTCAGTCACGAACGATTTAGGTTTTCTTTTCCCGAAATCGAGTTCTCTACTACATGAAGCGCAAACTTTCCTCCTGTTCTCTTCATGATCACACTTGTTGTTCATTTGAACGAAATAGAATCTAAAGATAATTTAGTCAAATTTATCCTGTACTTTATAATTTAAATTTTTTGTATCATACATGAAAAGGAACGTATTCTCCCTGGTAAATAAGTCGAATTAATTTCGTATCAAATTCGGAGAAATTAGACTGGATAAGTGGGAAACTAACTAAACTATCTAAAAAACTATCTAAATACAAATCCGAAAAAAACTAATCATCAATTAATGTCGAACTTTCTTGCAAATTATACGAAATCAGTATAAGAATACGGCGTTGGTTTGAAAGGATCCGATTTAATATAATTGACACATGGGAGAAGTTATAATTCCGGAATAATGTGAAGCTTGTATGTAATCTATCCGCAAACAGTCCGCAATAATACATATTCCGAAGTTACTTAGAAATAATCTGAAATCAGTAACGAATTATTTCCGTACTTGACCGGACTAATCCCCAATTCAATAGTTTCTTATAATCGGACTAATTCCGGATTGGATCAAACTGATTTCGGATTCACTACTTACACTTAAACCGTATTGCTTTCAGACATAGTCGGACTTATTCCGGATGACCTAAATTTGACCACAAATTGGATTATTGCGGCACAATTCCAGATTTAATAGTAAAAAGGATTATTTGCGCACTTGACCAGACTAATCCCTTATTCAATAGTTTCATGCAACTTGACTAACTCGGGATTAGGTCGTACTAATTCATGATTCGCATCTTTATACGTAACCGCATTGCTTTCAAAAAGTCTTATTCCGGATGACCTGAACTTGATTAGATCAAACTATATTTGGATCCACTAGGTATTTACAAACAGTATTGTTTTCTGACTTAACCGGACCAATTCCGGATGAAAAAAACCTGACCATAAACCGCATTGTTTCGGACTAATTGCGGACCCCCTCACAGCACACAGTGGGCTAGAATGCCAAAATCCTGGCCAAAACCACAAAAAAATTTTCTTAAATTCCTTTTTTTTTCTTCATGTTATATACTTAAATGTTTGAGCTATTGATAACCAACTTCATATACGTTATAAGGTTAAATCCAATGTCATAGCACTGGTCCAAACATTGAATATTTTTTAACGATATCTCGCGTTGTGGTAAGCATCAGTGTATCTCTAAGGAAAAGTAGCATAACTTTTACAAAAATTATAATTTTTGAGAAATCCAAAATGGAGGTTACTTCTGAAGGTATGTTTATAGAAATAATTATTAATAATAATAATTATTATTTTGTTTCTGTAAGTGCTGTGAATTTAGTAACAGTTTTTTATATTAATTTTTCTTTTACCGAAATGTATGACTATACGTAACAATGATATGTTTTTAGTTGTGATATTCTTTAATGATAAGCAAAGACTAAGTAAATTGTGTACTGATTTTTGGATTAAGTATAATCAATCACAACGAAAAGGTGAAAAATTTTTTTAAAATAATGAAAAATGTCTTACTGAGATAATATTTTTTTGTTCAACGACAAATTCCACACATTAAGAGTCATTGAAAGGAGGTCGTCATGCATTAGAATTTTCATCTTCAAGTGAAAGGTCGAAACGAAGAAAAACTGAAGACATGCGTAAAAATTTCGATAACTCTGCCTTATTATTCGCCACCAAAATGAGCTTGCGTTCTTCAGTCCAGTTGGATGCTTCTAAAATTGTACAAGAAATTGCATCAGATTCGAATAAAGCATCTGAATATAAAGAAGCAATCGATTTCAAATCTGCAATACGAATGACTGACGACGAAGCACTATGTTTTCTTCTTGATAACAACTTATCAAAAAGCGTTTACAAAGGGATGAAAACTAACAATGATAAACGTAATTGTAAAATATACCCATCGTATAAAGCAGTTTCACGAGCCAAAACAAGATGTTATGCTTTACGTGATGAAATGATTTTTTCGGAATATAAAGCCGAAGTACGACTCCAGCCTTACTTAACTACACAGTGGAACGTATAACTGACATTCTTAACCTACGAATTGTTTGTAAATTGGGCTTTGATGGTACATCTGGTCAAAGCGTGTACAAAATAAAGTTTGAAAATGAATACACTTCTGATGCAAGTCTATTTTATACATCAATTGTTCCATTCAATCTTATAGCCGTTGATAAACAAAATGTGACGGTACGCAACGTAGGGCGTGATTTTGTGTGATAGTGGGGTATGATTGAGTGGGGTGTGATTGAGTGGGAATCGACAAAATAATTAGAGATGCTAATTATTTCTTAGTTAGTATATATTTTCAATTCAAATTATTAACAAGTCGCAGTAACAATTATTTGACAGAATTGTCTAACACAAAGTATGTGTCCATAAATTATAAAATAAAGTAACCTAATTGTTGTGAGTATCACGTGTGTAAGGAGTAATTATATTTGGAATCGGGAAACCACACTATTGAAAGGTATGCCCGATCGACAGAATAATGTGACTCTGCGGAGGTTCGCTTATAATAGGTGCGAGGGGCTGTTCACTGAAAATCCAATTGAACAATATTTGAGAATTCATTAAAGATTTTTAAGGATTGCTAGTCATTTTTGTAATTTCTATTTTGAAATTAAGGGAAATAGTGCTTTCATTTTATTTGAAGTAATTACTTGCAAGAGTAAGATTGCAAGAAAAATAGATTAATTGTATAATTCGCCGCCGAATTCGCTCGTATGTCTCCGTAACCATTCGTGACTCGCAACAATTCTTACTGCATGATTTAGAATTTTACTGGAATCGACGAGATTCGTTTGGATTCGCATAGTATTCGACAAATTCGAACGTCCTTTTCAATAATCGTCGGTAATCTCCAATTAAAATACAATATATTCAGAATCAAGAAATTTACATTTTCTTATGTTAATTGATGAATATTCGGAAGATACCTAGTATATTCTCTACATTACAAATCGGGTATTCGAGAGTGAACAGCCCCTCGAATAGGTGCGAATAGCTGAGACAATGGTTCTTCTTCTTCTGCCTGATTCCTGATTGTCGTCGAGGATTCCTCATATGCCACGGTTTCGCACAGCGACATTCCGCAATGCGTGAGTCACTAAAAAGAGCTCTAGACCAAAACTAGATAACAATCTCGATCGAGTGTTGTATGAATGGGTTATGTGTGTGCGTATGTGAATGTAAAGACACCCATTTTTTATTGTTTAATGTAAATTAATTGTCGACATAATCATTTCTACGGAAATAAATCGTGATTATTATATTTGAATGTTGGTACCTATTTTCTTTTAGTTAGAACATCCGATACCTTGATCTTATTTAATTTCAAGTAACGATAAAATTTTATATTAGCAATATTTATTCTGGTTTTTTATTAATTTTTTATAAGCTATTGCATTCGAATCGTTCCACCCATTTTATTGTCCATTCCGAATTTCTTACCCGCAGAAAGGCTCCTGCAAAGGTACTTTATTATATTAGTAAGCACTTCATGGAGCCGGGATTGCTAATTATAGAAATATTGAATCGCGTAAAATTTATACTTATTGAACCACAAATTTTAAAGCTCATTTTCTCTAATTTGACTTTTTAAAAATGTGGCAAACTGTCGGGCAGGATTGACAGAAAACGCCTTCAACAATTGATTTTAATTTCTCCATTTTTTAATATTTTATGTCTAAAATTTTTTTACAAATGCTTCAAATATATACAAAAACATCACAAAAAGCCCGGAGGTCTAAGTTATTTTTTTCCTCCTTAAAAAAATTCTTTAAAAAGCGATATTTTTAAGCCTTCTAAAGTTGGATCCCTCCTTAAGGAGCAAATAAAAGTACTTATTCCACATGAACTCATCATAAATGGCAAAAACATTTCGGTTGTACATGAATTACATTTAACGATGGTTGATGGTAAAGTGTGCAACGCTTTGGCATCTGTTACTTCTGCTCAACGTTTATTTGTGTTCAGCAACATCGAAGCAATTTAACAATATTGACGAAATGTTAAAGAGACCTGTAAGAAACGACAATTTTCAATACGGATCATCAAGTCTTCATGTATGGATCCGAACCTTAGAGTGTTGTCCACATTTAGCGTATAAATTAGAAACATAAAAATGGTAAGCGCGTAATGACGGAAATACCGCAAGACGCTTTTTTAAAAATTACACAGTCTCAGTGAAGATAACAGGAATTGATGAAACCTTGATTAAACGGCTTTATGCTTTGTTACAGGTAATTTCTAGTGGTTATGAAATAAATATTGATAAATTCCAAAAAATATTCGTTGGAAAAAGCAGAACTGTTTGTTAAATTGTATTTCATTTTGAAAATTTGTAATTACACTGCGCGATAGCCGAAAAACTTTTTATTGGACCTACTAGAGGTTGTAAGTAACAAAAAACTTAGAAGAATGGAATATTAAAAATTTC